CAAGATGACGGTGGGTGGCAGGCCTCCCAGAGCCGATGTGGAGTGGTGAGCAGGTAGGAAGCGGCAGAGGGAAGGGTACAGCATGAAGCCCGAGGCAGGTGGGTGTTAATATCGGCATGCCACTCAGCGTGTGATGCACTCTACTTGCTCCCCACATCAGCCTCCACAACGGCAAACGTGGCAGCCTTTTCCATGAGACAGCCTGCCCACCTGGGGCTCATCATAGTGCCTGACATGCTGAGTGACTAGTGATTGCATGCATGAATGAGCTCAGTAATGTTTAGTAGCTAGAGTGAGGCCCTCCTGCTGATTTATTTGTGCCTGTGTGACGGAAGCATAGGCAGTTGCTCGTCTGCCCTCCATGGCATTCCCGATGATGTGCTTAGCTTACTGTCTGTGGGGAGAGTGCACATGACTCACTGTATGAAACTTGATAAATAAAAGACCATTGCTTGTGGTGATTCCATTGCTTGTGGCTCTGACTTGCAGTACCTGCAGTCCCCTCTGCTCTGTGGAGTGGGAATCCTAGCTCCCACCGCTGTTGGGCTTTGAGAGGACATTATGGGTGCCCTGACTGTGGCTGGTGTGGAGAATGAGAATAAAGGCAAGATTCTTGCCCCCTGAACCCTGCTGTTTTAATACATCTTGGCATGTGACAGGTGACAAGGGTGGGAGATTTCACAAGCAGATAGCATTGTGTGGAGCTTATGTGGTTCCTGCTCCGGCTTCCTGCCTCAGCCTTCCTGAAGTAACCATGGAGTTCTGTTCACTAGGCTCAGGCACTACTCCTTCAGTCAGCCCTGACCGGCAGGATAATGTTCCTTTTCAGACCTGTCACCGCCTTTAATGTGTTCTATATTTGGCCATGAATGAGTCCTGCAAAGGTAGTGACAGGTTAGTCACCATTGTTCCGTGCCTCACATAGTCCTCAGCACCCAATGCAGCTGGGAGAGAGGAACGCCTCCATGGGACCCAGCTGGCAGACAGTAGTGACAGATGCAGTTCAGTTAGAGATCTTTGCACCACGAAGGGCTTCAGAGGTCAGAGGTCACCTAAGCCTCCCCCGCTTGCAGGGGACAGGGTAAAGAAATGGCCATGAGAAGTCTGCCATTGCCGGGTGGTGGCTGAGAGCTCACTGGAGTGGGGAAAAGATGCCTGACCCTGTGGCACCAGCCACCTCGCCCAGTACCTTTCCCTCTCACACATGCAGCTCCAAGCCCACCTTACAGCAAAAGGGAGAGAAGAGCTTGGAGAAGAAACATGAGCAGGACCGTACATTTGGGAGCAGGGCTGACTGTGTACTCTTCCCTGGGAAGAGGTGGTCACGGTGAGCAGGCCTGGTAGAGAGGGCCGGGCAGGCCCGTGGTGTGAGCATGATGTCCAAAGCTCCTTCAGCCAGCTCCTTGCCACCTGCAGCACTGTAGTTAAGGAATCCCGAAGGCTCTTCTTTCATTCTGGTCTTCCAGTTCGACAGAGGAGGTGTGGGTCAGGCCCAGTGGTGCAAGCCTGTTATCCTGCGGCTGAGGTAAGAGGAACAAACCTGGGACAATATTGTGAGACTGCCTCAGAAAACACAGCAAAGCCAGTTATGTTAACCTAATACAGATTAAAGTGATGGACGCTCTTAATTAAGCTTGGTTCTGAAACTGAAGAGTTAACTGTAGGCCCGGGGATTTAGCTCAGTGGTTCCGTCGCCCGCCTTGAACATGCAAGGTCTGGAATTCAATCCCCAGTACCGGAAAAAAAAAAAAAAAGAGTTAACTATAAAGCACAGGATATGAGCAGAAAATAAGAAAAATGGTACGGGAGCTTCTTTGTTGGCTTTGGGTAAAACAGGTGCTGTTGGTCCATGGACTTGCCCAGGGGATCCTGCTGAAGCCTTTTCTTCTGTTGGCCAGCTTAGAGCAGCTGGCTCGCCCTGATCCTTTGTCAGCAGGGTACAGAGAGGGCAGATGTGATTGATCCTTCAGGCTACAGGTTAAAGGGCATGGTCATTCTGGGGTTAAAATCAAGATCACCTTTGGCAAATGGTACTGTTGTGTACAGGTTAGGAGTTCCTGGGATGAAGCTCGTTGCCATGTGGAGGAGACAGGAGCAGGCCCGGTGCATGGCTGTGTAGCTCCGTACGCTCTCTGGCCTTGGCCCAGGGACACAGAACATAGGTCATAGATGACTGCAACTCTACTTCCTTTTTCACAAAATGACCAGCCTGGGGACCATGTTGTTAGCCGTGGGCTTAGATTGCAGTTGATTGTATGGGTGTCACAGGTAAGAGTTGTCAGCAGCCTGCCTGGCAAAGCACAGCATGCTACTTTGATTTGGCTCTATTATGAGGAGTCTGTTATGACGAAATCTTGTGTGGGGCTTTCTGCCTCGAGACTCCGTCCTGCAAGGAGGACAGAGTGCCTGAGGCGAACTTGAGTGAAGCTGTGACGATGGGCACAGTGTTTGGAAGCGCACACTTGGCCCCCAGAAAGCTGTGCCTATCCAGTCTGACAGTGGGGAATCAGTTACGAGTGCTTAATGGTGCCGTTGTGTGTGCCAGCGCTGGATGTGGGCATTGCCCTTTGGTGGCCCGGCAGGGACACGTGCAGCCAGGGGAGCCTGTGTGGGGAAAAGCAGCGAAGCAGCGTATCAGGGAAGGTACTGTGAGTAGCAGAGCAAGTCCCTGCCTTGGCTCCCCTACTTCCCATTCACATCTTCCCATCTTCCTGTTTCTGGTATAGCGTTTCTGGGTCATATCTTGTAAACTGCATCCCTTCTTTATGCATCAGCACCTGTATTTACGTAAACGATGTCCACATTGTCGTGTTTCTGTCCAGCTTGCAGTGTGTCCACTACCGCCCACATCCCGCCATGTTTCCTTTTGCATTCCCTAGGGAGTAGTCTCCTACCTGTCCTGGGGGGACTAGGGAGGCTTCTGTGGTGTTGTAACTCCCCAGCAAATTGCTGGGTGGTACTTAGGGTTTGGGTAGGAGTTGTCCCCTAAAGGCAACAATTTTGAAGAGCAACAATGTTCCGAGTTGAAGTTTTTGATGTGATTGGATCATGGCTCTAATTCCATCTGGGTTTAGCCCATGGATGAATCCATACTGGACGGCATCATTGGGGTGTTGGAACCTTAGGAGGTGGGGTCTCATGGAGGGGGTGGATAATGGGAATTTGTTCCTGGGGTTTATACCTTGTTCCTGGCCCCTTTTCTCTGGCTGTCACTGTATTTCCAGGCTGCCATAAATGGAAGGGCTGTGCTGCTTCACACTCTGCCGTGAGAGCAGTGAAGTCAGATGACCATGGACTGAAACTTGTGAAACCATGAGCCAGTTGTCCCTGAAATGGGAACCATCGCTCCTGGGTGTGCTGATGGCTGGCACCAGCGTGTGACTAGTTAGCAAATGTCCTTTTCCTGAAATCCAGTCAGAGAAGTGGGCAGGTTTCTAGGAAGCCAAGATACCTATTTCAGTGGTGCTTAGCGATCTGACAGTTGGGATGAGGAAGGCAAATACCCGCTCTGGGTCGCAGTGTTGTGGGGACCATCAAGGCTGAATGAGGGCCGTGATTACCTTGCTGCTCCTGCCACCAGCTCAGCAATCTCAAGCAACTGCTGTTCCTGGCAGTGAGTGGGAAAGTGCTTGATGTGGCTGGGGTGGGAGGGAGCTTCTGCAGTGCAGAGCTGCAGCTCAGCATCAGCCCTGTGTGCCAAGGAGCTGTGCACCTGCCAGCTGAGGAGGCACTGCCTAATCGCACCTGGGCTGCAGGAGGCTGTGGAGAGGAGAACCCAGGGCTGTGCCCTCGAGTTGTCCCTCCCTTGAGCAGTTGCAGCCTCTGAGGAAGGTGGTCCAGACTCATAGCCTCTGGGGGTCTTTGCTGATTGCTGGATTCAGGATCCTGTAGGAGGGGTCATCACCTCAGCCTGTCCAGCTCTGGGCTCAAGGATGATTGCTCTTCCTTGCAGTGCGTCAGCCATCTTCTCTGCCCTTGCCATGTGCATACAGGGCTCATGTATTTGTCCCTTTGCAAGGTCTTACTCCTGTCACCTTCCTGACAGTCTCACCGTCCTCCCTCCTGACCTGGCTAACTAAGCTCAGGACAGAGAGACATGAACACGTCCAGGGCCACACTGCAGAGAGGGGATGCAGTAGCCCTTTGTACAAAACAAGCACATCTGTCCTCTGGGAGCCTCCAGACTGAGTGTAGACAGAGAAGGTGTTGGGTGACCCCAGGGAGAGACAGCAGGAAAAGGCAGCACAGATGAGAGGGTGGCTATGATTTTTGGAGAAAGTGGGAGAAAAGGGATGATGGAGTAATAGATCCTTTCTCTGTCCTGTTGCCTGTGGTGCTTGGTGACAGCTGCCTTATTCCTTTCAAGCAGCTCAGCGGTAGCTTAAAGGATAAAGCATAGTGAGCATTTTGATTTTCCAATTATCCTAGCACTTTCTCAGTTATTCTCCTATTATTTCTTCTTTTTTGTTTTGGTACCAGGGATCGAACTCGGAACCTTGCGCTTGCAAGGCAGGAGGCGGAACCACTGAGCTAAATCCCCAGCCCTCTCCTATTATTTCTAATTTAGGTTAGTCACTTTCTCCTTTCAAATATGGAAAAAAAGGAGAGAAAACTCGTTTTGCCCTTGACAAAGCATGATTATTAGTTCTGTCTTCTTGGATGTCACCAACTCTGGGAAGCCGTCCCTGGCTGTCCTGGCTGTGTGAGAATCCACCCTGGCACCCTGAGTCCTGTACTTTACACCTCTGCCTTCCTCCTTGGTTCCTTTGTGCTGCGTGCCTGGACTGGGGTGCATTGAGAGGCTCCCATCCTCTGACTTGTGTGTTTCTGTTATTAATAAAAGCATAAGCCACACAAGTGCCTGGGGTGAGCATGGAGGGCTTGGTTACCAAGAAGCCGTTTGTGCAAAGCAGCAAGGAGCAGGCTGCCCACTCCCCGTAGAGGCTGGCACAGGGACAGCTGCCCTAGCATCTGCCTCATAACATCACTGTGTCTCCTAGGTTGGGAACTACAAGCGAACTGTGAAGAGGATCGACGATGGCCACCGCCTGTGCAGCGACCTCATGAACTGCCTTCATGAGCGTGCTCGCATCGAGAAGGCATATGCTCAGCAGCTCACGGAATGGGCCCGGCGCTGGAGGCAGCTTGTGGAGAAGGGTAGGGACAGCCTGGGCATGGGCACCAGCTGCTTACCTCCCGGGCTTACTGGGCCAGGTTCCTCTCTTGTAAGATGCAGGTGGGAACGTTTCTTGCTCCTGTGAGAATTCTGTGCAGGGCCACAGGGTACCCATCACCCAGCAGGCTTAGGCCATATGAACTTTTGTTGTGTCTCCTTGGGGACACCAGACTGCCCTTTGCACAGCTCTTGTGTCTCCTGTTCTGGCCCTTGTCATCCTTAGGACACACTTAGGCATTCGGGCTGAACCTGGAACAAGAAAATAACCTCTGCTGAGGGCTGACATGTAACGAAGTTCCTTGCTGCTCAGCACCTTGCTTTCTAACACTGAGAGCTTTTTACCTGCCAGCCTGGCCCTGTAGCAAGTCAAATAACACTGGGTAGTGACAGTGGGTACCTTCCTGGCTTTAGTCTCAATGGACATGACTGCAGGTGTTCCCCAGTGGCAGTTTTTCCCTTCCCTCCCTCCAGTGAAGCTCAGAGGACACTGAGGCCTGTCACAGATGCCTCTGTGGAGGTCACAGCATGCCACCCTCAGGGAGCTGGGTGATAGTGGGATTTCCTGGGCAGGGGCAGCTTCCCGGAGCTCCTGTGAGTGTTCAGGGCTGGCTCTTCCGCCTTGGCTGCTGAGCTCAGAGGAGTCATGCAGGGAAGTCAGGTTCCAGGTGAGAGTCAGCAAAGGCTGCCTGTCCTTTCCTGGGTGCTGAAGTGGGCTACATAAGGGCCCCAAGTACAGCCCTGCTGCAGCATGGTGGCCCCAGCTGGGAAGCTGCCTGGGTAAAGAGCAACAGAGACAGGTCATCTCTCTCGGCTGATAGATAGCAGCTGTCACTGCTTCAGTTCCGCCTGCTGAGTCCCTCTCAGTTCCAGCTGTCACCTCTGCTGTGCTCACCTTGTGGATCTGTCCACACCAATGCTGACCAAGGCACGCCACGGAGCATGCTCACTTTGTAGTCCTAAGTCATTAGGAGTTCAGAGGGTCACATTTCTGCTGTCCCGAAGCCCTAGAGTCTTGTGCCCTACTCCCATCCGTCATTACTTGCTCGGTGACTAACACTCCCTATGAGCATCTCAGGGACCCAGCCTGGGTCTCTTGTTTTTCACCTTCAGCTTTGCCGTAGTTCTTCACACACACACACACGTACACACACCATTTGATAGCCCAGATTAAGGGTTTCTTTCCTGAGCCTTGTGGACTGGGACTGCAAGCAAGGAGGGTATGAGATGACCGGACCCCTAGGGACTTCCACATGGGTCCCTGTAAGTTCAAGTCTCCTCTCCTTCTTCACCTAGCACAGCACTTCCTGGATCCTGCAGGCTATCTCAGGGCTGCCTGAGCCTTGTAGGAGTGGATGGAAATGGCCCAGCTGGGGGTGACAGCACTGGGCTGGCAGGGGGCTGGCTGAGAGCAGAGCTGACAAATGTGGGTATGGGTGTGGGTTCAGAGCAGCCTAGAAGAGAGAGGACAGCTCACTTCAGCAGGCTCCCATTCTTTAGCCACTGTAAACTTTCAGGCTCCCAAGATGCAGAGATTTCAGTGTGTAAGAGCTCAGTGCTTTAAGTACAGTAAATATGTATGGATCAGGTTGCTCCATGTAAATGACTGTGGGGTTGACAAGAAATCCGTGTCTTTGCCCCGTGTTAGTAACCAAGTTCTCCTGTGTCAGGGCCTCAGTACGGGACTGTGGAGAAGGCCTGGGTGTCCTTCATGTCTGAAGCAGAGAGGGTCAGCGAGCTGCACCTGGACATAAAGGCCTCACTTATGAATGAGGACTTTGAGAAGATTAAGAACTGGCAGAAGGAAGCCTTTCACAAGCAGATGATGGGAGGCTTCAAGGAGACCAAGGAAGCCGAGGACAGCTTCCGCAAAGCCCAGAAACCCTGGGCCAAGAAGATGAAAGAGGTACCTCCCTCCCTGGGCCACTTCCTAGCCAGGATTCCCTGGTGCTGGCTGCCCAGCCAGCACTCTCTCTAGCACTGCCCCCCAAGACCACCTGTGGCTGTTGCAGCCCAGGGAGCCCACACCTGGTAGAGAAACAGCCACCCCTCAGGCCAGACATTTGCCCAGGTCCAAGACACCAGTGCCTTTTGAGCATTCTTTAAATTAACCCTCACGAGCCCATCTTACAGACCAGGACCCAGGGTCACACTGCTCATTGGTGGAGAGCTCAGAACTCACTAGCAGTGCTTCCCCAATCTGGGCACCTGTCTGCTAGAGAGACATGCCGGTCCCTTTGGACTGGTAACAAATATTAATTTAAATTTGTTCTTTCTCTTGCATGGGTTTTCTCCCTAATTTGCCAATGATGCTGCTACTCCTTTTTCTAAAAATTGAAGGCAAAGTCATGGGTCTGTTCAGGCCCTGGCTAGCTGGAGGCCATCCTCTTGCCATCCCAGCCCCCTGCTTGTGCACTGCACCTGCCCACAACCTGCCCCACTGCTCACTGAATGCACTGCCCCTCCACCCAGCTCGTCCCAGAGCTGTTCTGCCATCCTCAGAATCATCCAAAATGTGCCTCCAGCCTTGGGTTGTCGCAGGCTCCCCTTAGGTCTTGCGGTTTGCCACCTTTCCTTTCTCTCCCACCTTGCCCTGGACCCAGTAGTAAACAGTTCCCCACCTCAAGAGTGATAGGTCTCCCACTACCTCAGCAGCTATTATGTATAGTAGCTGCCCTCTTCCTATCGTGCCTTGCCCCCTCCCCTGTGTGACGTCATGCCAAGATGGTTGCTCCCACCAAAGAACAAACCCTTCTTCCCAGCATGCCCCTGTTCCCACCTAGAGAGTAGCCTAATACTTAATACTCGCTCACCTCCTACCATCTAGTGACGTCACCGGCTCCTCCATTCCCTAGTCACTACCTCACTCAACCCCGCCTCAGCCCCTACAAACCCCACCCCAGTCTCTATAAAAGACTCTCCCTGCCCCGGCCACATTGCTTCTGTCTCTCCTTTGTTCAGAGACAGCCTGGCAGATCTATTCCCCTAATAAAGGCTTGTTGGGGCCTGGTCTGGTCTT